ACAGCATCCAGGCTGCCCTAAAGTGGAAAAACATAAACTCTATCTCCCTCCGGGCTTGCCAGCACCATAGCAGGTGATCTGAACAGTCACGTCGATAGTGACATTAGTGGTCCAGAAAGGGAGGATGCAGAGCAATAGTTAGGAACGCTGAGGGAGATTCTGTGAACTGCCAAGGAAGAGAAGCAAAAGACTCGCTGCGGCTGCCACTGCCAAGGCGAGGGACTACCACAACAGAAGCTGATTCCTGCCGTGAAATAGAGGGGATGAGGGTTGGTGAGGACAGTGGCTCTCCGATAAAGTACTAGCTGAGGGGTGGCTGGACCACGTTCCCACCGGGCAACAGCTTAGGGAACGGATGCGCGTAGAGCGCAATATTCGCCCCTATCCATAAACTAGAGGTAAACGCAGAGGAAAACAGGAGGTGAATGCAGTGGGGTGCTCCAGCTAACGCGAAGTCAAATTGAGTGCGCATACCATGTAGTTGTGAGAGCCAATAGTCAATGCATAGGTGTGGTCCCAATGCTCAGCTACGCAGAATCGCTTATTAGACTCCTTGCTTCACATAGGCTTATTCAACTGTCCAATGAGTGTAGTTTTGCTATTGCTGATTTTCAAGGCCTATTACAATAGTATACATTGAATAAATAAATAAATAAATGAACGAACAAACAAATAAATAAGTAAATAAATAAATAGGCAATTTAATAAATAAATGAAAGAAAATATAAAACTTGAAATATTTCTAAAAACAAAAGGATAAGAACAGCAGTTCTTGTAAATTGAATAATATAAGATTCCCACTGACGCCTCAAGTAACGCAACTTATTACCTTCCATGCACTGGAGGAGGAAACGGTGGCGGTAGACCAGGCGGGAGCATTCCAATCATTACCGGATTCAGACGAGGACCCATAGGACCAACAAGGGACTCCATGGACACAACCGGAAGCACGAAGGGGACCTGAAATCGAAAGACGCTAAAAAAAAGCAAGAGTCAGATACAACAATGGTTTCTGTTATTAAAAGCCACATCCCTTGAAGCCTTACCATGGACCTTCAGAACTTAACAATAATAGTTTTCAAACTGCTGAGAGAAATTCTCTTAGCAAAAAAAAAAAGTACGGCGTTCATAACTAGTGGAAGCACACCCGTAAGCTCACATATTTTTTGCGTGCCTTTGATTATAATTTTGCCCTTCACCGTGTCTCACCCTAAAGTCCCGTGACTTCCTATCAAATATTCGGCACTATTTACCCTTTACTGCCCCAATCTTCCGAAAACAGGCCAGTTTTTGACCGACTTTTTTCTGCGTTGGCAGAATTGGCTGAAAATTTGTCTCCTGGGGTAGTTTGACCTCCTGAACATGAATATCACATCCGCTAGGCACGAAACCTCCTGGCGCCGCGCCACAGGCGCCGGCGCCAAAATACCTTAAATCACCAAATTCGCTGAAAACTTGTTCTCAGGGGTAGTCTGACCTCCTGAACACGAATATCACATCTGCTCGGCCTGAAACCTCCTGGCTCTCGCGCTACAGGCGCTGGCGCCAAGACATCCTTTCGGACTAAGCGAATGTCATATTCGTATTCAGGAGGTCAAAATACCCCAGGAGACAACATTTGAGCCAAATCTGTCCACGGAGAAAAAAGTCGGTCAGAAAATGGCTCAATTCTGGATGGTTGGGGCAGTGAAGGGTAAACAGTGCCAAATATTCTATAAACTCTGGTCAAGCTTGGCGAAATGGTACTACCTCACTGTGAAGCCATTTCTTTTTTCCTATGTTTTGACCACTCCTTGACCAGTCATTGTTGACAAGCTTGACAGTGATTCACATAGTGCTTTACAGATGACAACAAGGTTTACGGGGTGGCCATAAGTTTGTCAGCGCCCAGCGCCTAGAGGCGTGCCCCCCCCCCCCTAGATGACTGGCGGCGCCTAATCACGTCAACAAACGCATCAAACAATTTCTAGTGCAGTTGCTACATGACAGACCGCCCCTTCATGAATATTTGAAATGGTAGAACAACCTTGCCACCACAAACACGCGTCCATTCGCCCAAAGTGTGGAACCGTTCCTCGTGTTCAGTGCGAATTAAAAGAGAGTCGTTGAAGTAACCAGACTGAGTCCACATCATCATTTCCTTAGCCGCATATGGACCTTAAAAGAAATTATTCTTTTAATCACATCTCCAACGCTTGACGCAACTCTGAATGATGAGAAAAATAAATTTGGTGATAAATTTCGTCTTATGACAAAACAGGTCATATGGAAAATCAACTTGTTCTGAATATTTGCTGACTGGTTCGCTGCAGATGACGGGGCATGTCCGCGCGGCTGCGTTTGGCACACCAAAATTCATTCTCTTCATTCTAAAAATTCATTCTCTTCATTCTTTAGCCGGTAAATGACAACAACTGGTGAAAAACGACCCCTACGAAGAATGTGATAGTCCTGTTGCTTGCCAAAGAAACGAGTTTGCGTTGCGCCAAAAGCACCCGTGCTGACACGCCCCATCATCCGCAGCGAACCAGACTACAGATATGTTTGCCTAAGAGGTGTTGCTCCCGCTAAAAGTTCAGTATATAAAAAAACCTTCGTCTCGGCACTGATCAATACGTCAGAGGTGATCTATAGGGATGACTGAAGCACCTTCTCGGCGCTGTTCGGTGTGAAGGGGGCATTCCTCACTTGTTGGTTCATGTTGACCATCAGGTCACACTTTGGTCAGACCTGTAAACTCCAGTGAGGTTGCGAAACTTCAGGCATTAGCCACTTTGGTTACAGGAGTTTACAGGTCTTCACGAGTTGGCGTACAAGCTTGACTGAGCACTATCTAGTGCCCCCCCAACAAGCCGAATTCACCTACTTAATGACGAATCACAAACTGGCCACAGATTAAGCTACTCACAACTAGTTCCAACACCTTGACCATCGCATACGGGTTGTTCGATAACACACAGGTTACTCCCACCCCCTTACTCCCTTCTAGTTTACAAAATCATCTCCATGAACAATCTTTCGCCAAGCGATTTCTTTTTCGCCATCTTGCGCGAGGCGCCCACACTACCCTCTTGGCAAACAGTAGACCTCATTTGCAAGCCCCGCCCCAGATAACCGCGCCCCTTCTTGCCGCGAACATAATTCACACATATGTTACATACATTGCATTATAATTTATGATATTATTCACCATAATGGAATCTCATGTAAAAAAAGCCCTCCCTCCTTCCCAGCTACATGTGAAGCTGTAAAAAACGTCAAAAAAGCCAGAAAACCTACCGTATATCTCGTTATCCGGGCCATGGTAATACCACCGCACTTCGATTGGCTTCGTCATCATACTAATGAGAAACGTCTCAATACAACGTTTGGCCCTGCGGAAAAAAATTCCAGCATACAAAAAAATATCAGAAGAGATAGAAATATGAAGGGCAAAGGTATATAAGCGAAGATTCGCCAGTCAGGAAGCTATTATACAGCCATACGAATCCATCTATTTATGCAATCATAACATCGAACGCAAACATAACGCATCAGAAACTAAGGAATGAGACCAATAGCAAGGAATAAGGGTAAAGTTCTCGATTAATCATCATCAGCGTCAAACCACTTTTCTTCCATGTCACGCTCATGTATTTCATCTATCTCATCCAGGGACACATCGTTGTCAACCGTATCGTAGTCGAAAAACCTGCAATCATGCTAAATGCAGTAGTGAAACGGACAAAAACAGGAAAGCTGTTTCTCAAAGGCAGTGGACCACGGCTGGGTGGGGACGGGAGGTTTCTGTCAACGTCATTGGTGGAAGGGCGGAGTGGGTGTGGCCAAACGCACTCTCACAGCCCTTCCACTAATGACACTGGCAACAACCACCCGCCTCCAGCCACCATGCCCACTGCCTTCAGAGAAAGTACAACAGATACAAGGTTCAGAACAGCTAGTTTTTGAATGGCCTATGTCCTGTACAATGACCTGCAAGGGCTAAGTCGGCATCTTCTACAATGGGTTCAAACACTCGAATTGGGTGGGGGTGATTGATACGTTCGCGGCGGCGTGTACTCCCGGGAGTACACGAAAAAACTCCGCTTTCGGCGAATCGTGTACTCCCGGGAGTACACGCGCCTATTCGCTCGTTTTTGGCAGTTTCTTTTCTTTTCACGAATTGTATCAAAAAAAATCAAACAAACAATAGAAAAATAATGTGCACACATTAGAAGAGGCATGTACTCCCGAGAAAAGATTTAGAAACTTTTTTCTTCAAGCGAACTGCTTACTTCCGGGGGTATGCGCGCCTCTTCGCTTGTTATTTTTTTGATTCCTCTTTCTTCACTGAGAGCTAAATACAAATAATAATGTGAACAACATAAAAGTAATATAAAGAATATATCTCGTGTGCCTCTTGAAAGCAGTTGAGACAGTAGTGATTTTTACAATGGAGACAAATCGTGTTTGCTTTGGGGTCATAGTTGCGAGCGTGAGTCTTTGTCAAACATCTACAACAGCCGACTCATCGTCTGAACGGTTTTCTTCCTGTACCCTCGGGCCTGCACAGATGTTTTGGCGAAGTTGTATCCGCCCCGAGCGCGCTGAACCATAAACGGGACGACTGGCTAAGTGTCGCCCGCCGCGAACGCGCCGCTCGACAAACGGAAGTTTTTGGCGAAACGGCGCCGCCGCGAACGTGTTTAAGAATAAACCATAAAAACCGAAACAAATAACCTGGAATCATGTCCCGCCAGGAAACGCTCTTCCATGTATAGCTGAAACTCTCGTCGCAGTATTTCCGGTGAGTCGTCCATACCGTCTTCGAGCATCTCCGCATCCTAGGAACAGAATACTTTACCTTTCTTTCGACCCTTTTGAACATGCTGTAAATATAAAAAGAACGCATCTTGTTTTGAGCGCATGAGAACATGGAGCTTGAATCCAGAACCATTTAGCATAGTAAGCGGACAAAGACAACAAAGAATCTACCTGCATACCCTATCTCATAGAAAATAGAGCTTAAATGCATGCCCCGCGTTTGAAAATGGTGAGTTGTGCGGCTTGAACACTTATGACAGGGTGGCAATCAACCAAGTAGTGAAGAAAAACGACGAAAAAAACCGTCGGAAATGCCTCATATGGAACCCCCATGCTAAATCGCGCTTCTATTGGGTTGGCCCATAAGTAATGGCGTGGCGTTTTTTTTTCTCACGCAAACTTTTATATGGAAAATGATAATTTTTCCCAATATGTTCTACATTGTTTGATAGATAATTTTCTGCTCTATAATACAATGTGGTTGTTTCTTGATTTTTGCCGATTTTTATTCCATTGAAATGAAAAGTCGAGTCGACCCAAAAGTGAGTTTTCGACAACAGCTTTTTGCAGTTTATCTCGGCTCTCAGATCACAGAAGAAGCTCAAAACTTGTGACATATATGGCCAAAGGAGTGACGCTTCTTATGACAGCTTGAATTGGTTCGAGCGATCAAGAGGTGGCAATTCGGACCTTGTAAATGTGAATCGCATGGGGCGCCCCTTGGGGAGCGACTGCCTGCAGAACGTACCCCCTAACTTTTGAACGTCTAACATCAACTAAGGGTGGTGCTTGATAATGATAAGGAAGAATTCCATGACCTCTAACGATTCCTCAATCTTTGGCATGAATCTCCGTAAATAAGGTAATTCAGTAAGCTTTCAGTTGGATTCAATAGGGCATAGGTTCGATGCTTGTCTGTGAGGTCGAAATTGAAATCTTCGAATCATTTAAAGTATTATTAGCATTCCTAAGAGACATAGCCTTCAGCCATATACTTAGCAGCTGGGCCTGTGCGGTTTTAGCTTTTTAATTAGAGGTGAAATAGGGAGGCTGTCGAAAATGCTCAATTTCGTCGACCTGACACTAGTTTGAGCACTTAAATATTAGTGGAAAGAGAAACTTCAAAAAAACTAAGAGGACTATTGTATAGGGCGAGGAATTCTCTGCAAAACAATATAGAACTCAATGGCAAAACTTTTCAATCTTTAGCGAAATATTTTGAGTGAGAAAAAACGCCATTACTTATGGGCCGACCCAATATAT